TTGTATTTTCCTGTAAAAATAACAGAGTTCCTTTGGAATTCTTCAGCTTTTAAGAACTACCGCTTTCTCCGGTAGTGAGCGGAACTAATGCGCAAACGACAACCTCATTGGCTGGTGCTCACCTATTATCGTCCCTGTTTTGATTTCAGCGAATCAGTTTGAGCGAACGCACACAACCTGAATAATATTCATGAATCCAGCTGCTCATTAATCCTTGGTGCATTTTATATTCTTATTAGTAGAATTCGTATAATAATAATAATAATAATATCTTATAAGTATTGTTATTTTTTTTCCAATTTTTTTCCAGGAACACTGAATGACCAAAAAAGCACCACCACCAGTCCTAAGTTCAGTTAAAATTACTAATTTGCATTCATACATGGTTACCAAGTTTTAATTCTAATTACTAAACTACTATTATTAAATAATACTTGATTATCATATTATAATGCTTGACTGCTTGACTGACTGCTGTTAAGAGTGTACTTTCAGATATTTAAAAAGCTGTGCCATTTTACAAACATTATATATATATATATATTAGTATTTCAGTCTTGCGAGCAAGCTAAAACATTTACTAGCCAATGGCGATTCAATTGCCAAGGTGTCTGTAGAGGGTTGTGATGTCTCACCGCAAGATCATTTATTCTGACACAAAGACAGTGAGGACTCATAAACCCTGAATCCAGCATAGAGGGGTTCAGTGAATGTGGTGTTGAATGTGTGTATGTGTGTAAGTATGTGTGTGTCAGAGACGCTGAAGTACGACAAAGTGCCAGCCGACACGTCCACATACACTCCTACTCTATTAGAGGATGAACAGCTCAGTATGTCAGTTTTCCTGTTCTCATGCCAGGCAGTGTATCTCTTTTCAGTGCAGTACAGACTCCAGGATTTATCATTGAATCCAAACCAAATGTCACTTTCACTTTTTCTTTTGATTCTTTTATATGCCACTGCTATATGGGCCCAGCCGCTCCACTCAACCTCCCAGTAACAGCGTCCAGTCAGACTCTCTTTACACAGAACCTGCTCCTGATGATCAAATCTGTCTGGATGATCAGGATACGGCTGATGATCTTTGACATAAGTTACCTTCCTGTATCCCTCAGAGAGGATGAGTTGAGTGTGTGCTGTGTTTGGATCCAGTGTGAGATCACAGGCATCTGAACACAAGAAGAGGTGAAAATTACAACAAGAAGAGTTTTACACATGTGTTAGTATTTGTTTGCGTGTAATAGGGGAACACCTACATTTTCTCAGTCCTTGTGTGATTCTAAAATGTTCTGCATGATCCAAACTAGAAAGAGACATATATAAAACACAGAGTTTGAATGTTTAGACTGGATCCAGAAAGAGCAGAGCTCATCGTGTAAGCTTTATGTTTGAAACAGCTTCACAGACAGTCTACACAGCAGGCTACATTTCTGTGTTGCAAACATTAAATAATAACGAAAGTATTGTGATAAAAGGAACTAATGTTATGCTTCAACTAAAGATCGTATGTTACATTATGCAACTAAGTGGCGACCAGTGACTGTTAAAATGTATTTGATGTCTGAATCCTTCATTCAAGAGATTCGTTCAAAAACTCTGGATGAAACAAGTCATTCATTCATTTCAAATTATTACATAAATTCATTTAAATGAATAAATATTTTTAAATAGACTCATTTATAACATCAAAAAGAAGAGGTGAAAATTACAACAAGAACAGCTTTACAGAGGTATAGTAAATGTTAGTATGTGCTGGTGTGTGTAATAGGGGAACACCTACATTTTCTCAGTCCTTGTGTGATTCTAAAATGTTCTGCATGATCCAAACTAGAAAGAGACATATATAAAACACAGAGTTTGAATGTTTAGACTGGACCCAGAAAGAGCAGAGCTCATCATGTAAGCTTTATGTTTGAAACAGCTTCACAGACAGTCTACACAGCAGGCTACATTTCTGTGTTGCAAACATTAAATAATAACGAAAGTATTGTGATAAAAGTTTTCAGTCTGGATATAGACTCTGATGCTGCAGCAGCTCCGATCAAAATGAGTAATTTACCTTTGGAACTAATGTTATGCTTCAACTAAAGATCGTATGTTACATTATGCAACTAAGTGGCGACCAGTGACTGTTAAAATGTATTTGATGTCTGAATCCTTCATTCAAGAGATTCGTTCAAAAACTCTGGATGAAACAAGTCATTCATTCATTTCAAATTATTACATAAATTCATTTAAATGAATAAATATTTTTAAATAGACTCATTTATAACATCAAATAAAACATTTTGTTAGAAACTCAAGTAAATTAGCCACATATTATGTTGTTTGGTTGTCTAATGTTTTGTTTTCAGATTCGTGGGAGAATCGTGATCTATATTCTAAAAATCAATTATCCAGTGTCATAGCTTAAAAAATACATAATACAGTATATCTGGCATCTAACTAATACTATTAGTACTGTGTCTAATATTAAAATGTAGACTAGGATGTAAAATGTACAATCTTACAGACTTTATGTAGTACATTAACAAGGATTTGGTACAGTTATAATGCATTATAATGCTGCTTCTCAAAACCATTGTGCGAAGTTCTGCAAACCCCACCCCAAACACCAATCACAGGGTTTAGAATTACAGTAACCCAGGGCACAGTGCAGTATGAAAAGCCATAAAGCCTGAGTAGACACACAAAAAACAATGCGTGCAAATCGTAAAAATCTCTTTACACTTCGTTATACTAATGTTGAAGGCTCAGCCTAGAGGCGAATATCTCAGAGTGATGGCATGCAAAGTTATACACTGTAAATAAATAGATATAAATAAACAGTGAAATGCATGGCAGCACAGGGTGCCAAATGTTTACCATTAATGGAAATAATTACAGAAAAATATTCAAATTTTTCTTAAATGTTTTACAAACAAACACTGTTACTTTACATATATTTTCTGGGTTATTATTGTGAAACACAACATAACTTATGTAAAACATAAATCTCTTGTAGTCAACCATTAGCTAGTGACAGCACACGTGTATGAGCTAATGTAACTAACTGTATCACTGCATCAGCAATTACACAGTTATTGCCTTTAAATAAAGCAACATGCAGCATAACATCAATATATTTAGGTCTTCTCCTGGACTGAAGCACAGACTCTACTCTCCAGCACAATGGTGACCCACAAAACCGACACCAAAACCCTTTAAATCCCAACAGAACATGAAACACTAACAGATCTCTCTAGATCTCAGCATCTTCACTTATTACAATCCAGTCTGACATTATTTATTTCATATAAAACTTCTTATTGAGAATTAACAGAGGTTTAGATGTTGATGTTTTATTGAAAATAATCAAGTTTGACGTCACCGTTGTGGAGATAAGCTTTTGCTTCAGTTGGGCTCTTGACCCTTGACTTTTTAATAATAGTTTTTTTCTGGCTGCTGTAACTGTGTGTTTTTAAGGCATGTTTGTTATTGCAAAAACTGCTAAAGAAAATCTGATCAGGGGAAGTTTTACTTATTGATTATGGTTCAGTCATCATTCACTTATTACAATCCAGTCTGACATTATTTATTTCATATAAAACTTCTTATTGAGAATCAACAGAGGTTTAGATGTTGATGTTTTATTGAAAATAATCAAGTTTGACGTCACCGTTGTGGAGATAAGCTTTTGCTTCAGTTGGGCTCTTGACCCTTGACTTTTTAATAATAGTTTTTTTCTGGCTGCTGTAACTGTGTGTTTTTAAGGCATGTTTGTTATTGCAAAAACTGCTAAAGAAAATCTGATCAGGGGAAGTTTTACTTATTGATTATGGTTCAGTCATCATATAGTGGGCTGATTCACTGACTAATCTATTGTGTATATTGTCTGTGTATGCATTTCATATTATTATGTGATCATTACTATTATGTATCCACACAGATCCTAGTGAATTTTTATCATTGTATTATACAGAGTGTACTGGCCTATGAGATTACTGTGTGGTATGCAAGTTGCACTGGGAAAAATCAGAAAGAACTGTGTTGTGTGGTTAAACCTGCACAGCAGAAAATAGGCACTGAGCTGCCGAGCCTGGATACTGTATATGCCAGCCAATTACGCACAAAGGCCAGCAGCATCATTATGGATCACACTCATCCAGGATACAGAATGTTTGTCCCTTCACCCTCTGGGAAGAGGTACAGGGCTTTTAGATCCAGGACAAATAGGTTACAGAACAGTTTTTTTTGTTGCAAAAGCTGTATCTGTCCTGACACCTCCTATTACAACTTTTACTTTTCCATAATAATTATGGACAATTTTAACAGTAATTAAAGATGGTGAAAGGACATGTAATATATGTATTTTAATATTTTATAATATTATTCTAATGTGCAATATGCTTCTAGAGGTTTTTGTTACTCGAGGTGTATGTGTTTATGCTATGAGAACTGCCACTCTAAATTTCTTTGTATTCAGACAATGAAAAATGAGTCTTAAGTCATGATTCTAGAATACTACTGCATAAAATCCTGTCCTGCTTTGATATTTTGAAAGTTTTTAAAGTCATTATGTAGAAATTACTTATACAAAATCATGTAGACTCACAGACATCAAGAACCTGCGTATGAATCTCAATAATAGTGACACTCAACAAAATATTCACATAAATAGATCAACTCTGAACATCATAAAACAAGCTACTAAAGTCACAAAAAATCTTTTTGTTGATTGTCACCATTGAGATTCATGTGCTGATTCTTGATGTTTAAAGGGGTCCTATTATGCTCTTTTACAAAGTCTTGATTTTGTTTTGGGGGTGTACTAGAACAGGCTCTCATACTAGGTTGTTCGAAAAGCATTATTTTTCACATATTTTACATTATTAGTCAAAAACACAGCAGACATCACTTTCTATAAAATTAATTAAAAACAAATCAGAAAATCACAAGACTACTGTAGAAAATACAAAACTAGCAGCTGATATACTTACAGATAAAAACATATGACGAGATCATTAAATCAGATCATAGTATGATGATTGAATCTTCATCAATAAGTTACCAAGTTCATCTGATCAGATTTTCTATAGCAATTTTCACTATGACAAACATTCTTTTGAAATACAGTTAAAGCAACTACAGAAAAACTGATGTTAAAAAGTCAAGGGTCAAGAGCCCAACTAAAGCAAATGCTTATCTCCCCAATGGTGACTTCAAACTTTATTATTTTCAATAAAACATCAACATCTAAACCTCTGTTAATTCTCAATAAGAAGTTTTGTATGAAAGAAAAAAGTCTCAAAAGACTGGTTTGTAATAATTGAAGATGCTGAGCTCGAGAGAGATCTGTTAGTGTTTAATGTTCTGTTGCAAACAGTCATGTGTTTTATTAAAATGTTTATGTTTTATTTATTTTGACAGTAAAGGTGTTTGATTGTAATAATTTAGGAAATACCTGTAAATTAACTTAGTTTACTTTCATTTTAAGGTTTTCATTTGGCACCCTGTGAAAGTGTTTGATCATAATAATTCAGAAAATACCTGTAAAATAACAGTGTTGTCAGCTTGTTTAAATAAGTAGATTTTACTTTAATTTTATGTTTTTTGTTTGGCAGCTGTTGCTGCCAGTCATTTGACCCTTTTGTCATCTAACAGTTTTGTTATTGTATTAATTACAGATTATTTTTGTAATTTTACATATATTTGTATGTAATTTAAAGGGGTCATATGATGCGATTTCAATTTTTCCTTTCTCTTTGGAGTGTTACAAGCTCTGGTGCATAAAGAAGATCTGTAAAGTTGCAAAGACTAAAGTCTCAAATCCAAAGAGATATTCTTTATAAAAGTTAAGAGTCAGCCACGCCTACCTAAAACGGCTCATTCTAACATGCCCCCACATGTCTACCTCACTATGTGGGAAGATTTGCATAACGCCGCCCAAATGTGCATGCAAAAAAAGAAGGCATCACTTTTATTCTCGCTGTAGTATTGTTGTTGCCGCCGGCGCCATGTCGTGGAGACGCTGTGTGTTTCGTTGTGAAAGCGAAGAGAGTAACCTACAATGCCGGTGTCTGTTTCTATAAAGTGGGGCAGTTCTAACTTTGCAAGGACAGTCTGGCGCTTCTGACTCACAGACTGTAAGTACATTTTGTTTTATATTTAAAGAATTTGACACTGATTATTCAAACGCGAGTTTTGAGCAGTGTAGAGTAGGCTTGTTATTTGTCGTTTCTCCGATCACAAATGCAGACATGGTTTTATGTTTACTCAGCGCGATACGCAACGTGTAAAAAGACAGTATAAGTCATTATAATCAGTAATTTTGTCCCCACTGGATGCAACAAATGCCTTGTTTGTAATGGGTTTTACTGGTTTTGGCTCCGGGGCACAGCATCACAGTATGGTGAGGGGCGTAACATTTCCGTCACATGCTTGAGGTATCCAGCCAATCACAACGCACTGGATAGCTGGCCAATCACAGCACACCTCGCTTTTCAGACTGATGAGCTTTGTAAAAATGCGTTTCAGAAAGGCGGGGCATAGATGAGAAACAATAATGTACAGTATGTGGAAAATAATGTGTTTTTTTAACCTTAAACCTCATAAACACATTGCATTACACCAAATAATGTTCTTTTTAGTAACGTCATATGACCCCTTTAAGAAAACAGAAAAATACTGTACCAAAACACAGAAATGTTTTTGTATAAAAAAATGTGATTTACTGTAATTTGTCATTAATGTTGTAATAGCTAAAATAACAGCCGAGTAGTCAATTTAGAGAGAATTTTACAGAGTTTTGACTACAATTTAAAATAAAAGAAAACAACCTGAAAAAAATCACAGCTATTTTCCGTAAAATTAGGATTTTTTTAATAACCCACCAAATTGGGAAGTGAGTTGATAATGTTTCCTGCCATAGTCAATTTTTACCTGCATTAGGTGGGTTGACCAGATTAATTTTTTCAACCCTGCTCTTAACTGAGATTAGCAGTATTAGTGATCTTGAGTAAAACCACCTTACTGCCCCACATACTTGAGTATCTGCAGTTTATAGTTTGGATCCTCCAGTCTGTATTTGAGCAGCTGGACTCCTGATGGTCCTGGGTGATTGTAGCTCAGATCCAGCTCTCTCAAGTGTGAGGGGTTTGAACTCAGAGCTGAAGACAAATAACCACATCCTTCCTCTGTCACCATACAGCCAGACAACCTACAGAAACACACACACAGACAGATCATCTACAGACACAGATCAACACTCAGATCTACAAACATTATGACCGGCTGTCTATATGATTTCTTATATGTTCTTACACACCTCAGTATCTGCAGCTGACAGTTTAGTCTCTTCAGTCCATTGGAGAGCAGCTTCACTCCTGAATCCTGCAGGTCATTATTACTCAGATCCAGCTCTCTCAGGACAGAGTTTGAGGATTGGAGAACTGATGACAAAATTTCACAGGACTGTCCAGTGAGATTACAGCGAGCAAATCTAAAGGACAAAATATATAATAAAAGATGTTCAGGGCTCTAGACTCATTCTTCCCACTGGTCACTCTTTTGCGACTAACTTTCTCAGTTGGTCGCACGAGCACATCATTTTGTTGCAATTTCTTTTTTTTCTACAACATGGGATTAATCAATGCATGCTTATGAACTTTTATCATAGTTTATAGTTATATGGTAACGAAAGTGTTCAACATTCAACCCGTTCTTTTTCATCAGTATTATTTGTGATTTTAGTTTTGTGAACAGGAGTTCCTCTATTGCTGTGTTATAATATGGGCTTTGTGTGTTTCCACTTCCACTTTCAAATTTGCGATCATTGTGTCACGTTTTACAAGAAAAGATAATTGTTTGTTTTGCTTATTTCTATATACCTTTCATTTTTAAGATTAAAACAAAAGATGGATTCATTGTTATTCTTAATTAAAACGCACAACTACAAGAAAACAGTAGGCTGCAATGACAAACTGTCTTACATAATGTTTATTAACAAAAACGAATAAGATGAGTCACGACATATGCCTACACCACGTGCTGTACTATATAGTGACTAATAAATTACAGAATGTTTAGCAAACACTGATGAATTAAAAAAAGCCTAGTCATAGTCATTCCTCAATATTCACGTAATTTTTGCAGCGCACCTTCACACTCATACTGACGAGGCAAGTATAAACCAGGCTCTACACCTGAAGCGCTCACGCTGAAAGCACCTCTCTTCATGTGATCAGTGAAATCTGACTCCTGCTACAATGTGCCGCGGCTCTGAAACACGTGCTGTATGGAGCAGTCGCTTTGGAGCAGTGCAGACCATGCACTCGCACAAAATTTAACCACGTCAAATTTGAATTTGTGTTACCCCCCTGCGGTCCTTACCACCACACCTCGTTCTTGTTCCGAGTGGGTCTCGAACCCAGGTCTCCAGCATGGGAGGCGGGCACACTAACAAGGAGGCTAAAGAATGCAGCCACTAGCATCAGTCGCTAGTGCGCTTCTTGAGATCAGGGGAGTGAGGTTTACCTGCACCTTTACACAGCACCTACCTGCTGGCCTCCGTAATGAAGGCACATTCTCAAAACAACTATCGCGATTTGAGAGCCCTGTACTTGAAATGTTACTCAGGAAAGTACAGAAATAAAACATTCAAATACTATATTATTATTTTGTCTAATAACATATATTGTTTGTTTATTTCTTAACGCTAATCCAGCATCTATGGCTATATTCATGGTAAGAAACAGTTAATCCATACACAAGTCGATCCATACACAAGTCTTGTCTTTACACACATGTCCGGGGAGAATTTAGAATGTTCAATTAACCTAACCTGAATGTCTTTGGGCTGTGGGAGGAAACCAGAGCACCCAGCGTAAACCCACGCAGACACAGGGAGAACATGCAAACTCTACACAGAAAGGCATCCTGTCCTTGCAGGGGCTCGAACCGGGGAACTTCTTGCTGTGAGACAACAGTACCGCCCATCTAATAATATATATAGTAATTATACAGTACTGTACAAAATATATAGTAACTCCAGCATCACTGTGCCTTAACTCACAGAGCTATTCTGCAGTTGATCACAGCTGGTATCAGTCTTCTTCTCCCCTCATCTGATGTGTTGTATTTCTTGAGGTCCAGCTCATCCAGCGGCTCCTCTGACATCTGAAGCATGTAGGCGATTGTTGAGCAGTGAGCAGGAGAGAGTTTCTTCTCTGAGTGTTTGTCTGATTTCACAAACTCCTGAATCTCTCTGAACAGAGTCTGATCTTTCACTTCCAGCAGACAGAGCAACAGATTGATGGATCTTTCAGTGGAGAGTCCATGTCCATCTTTGATCTTCTCTTTAATGTACTGTGTGGTTCTCCTGATGCTCTCTGAGCTGTTCTCTGTGTGTGTCAGTAGATCCTGTAAGAGTCTCTGATTGGACTCCAGTGAGATGCCCAGCAGGAACCGCAGGAACAGATCCAGATGACCATTCTCACTCTCAAGGGCTTCATCCACTGCTATTTTAAGCACATTTCTTACAGAAACAAAATTCTTCAGTCCTTTCACAATTTTATTTACATGGTAGTAAAACACATAGAAAGCAGCGAGAAACTCCTGAACGCTCAGATGAATGAAGCTGTAGACTTTCTTCTGATGAATCACCGATTCCTGTTTAAAGATCTCAGAGCAAATCCCAGAATACACTGAGGCATCAGTGACGTATATGCCGCTCTCAATCAGGTCCTCCTCATAGAACATCACATTGCCCTTCATCAGCTGTTTGAAAGCCACTTCAGCAAGTTTCACAATCACTTCTCTGTTGGACTGCAGGAGTTTCTCTGGATCTCTCTCTTCATACTTCTGCTTCCTCATGTTGATCTGAATCAGCAGGAAGTGGATGTACATTTCAGTCAGAGTTTGAGGGACTTCTGCACTCAGATCTTCTTCCAGGAGCTTCTGAAGCACAGTGGATGAGATCCAGCAGAAGACGGGGATGTGGCACATGATGTGGAGGCTTCTTGCTCTTCTGATGTGTGAGATGATTCTGCTGGCTTGATCTTTCAGATGATGTATAAATCTCAATTTTAAAAAAAGGTTGAGGTTTTGTTGTCTGGGGTCACATATATGGTCTACTCTTCTACACTACATAAGGAGAAGTGGCCATTTTGAGTGAAAACCACAACCACACGTGTGTGTGTGTACACACACACACACACACACACACACACACACACACACACACACACATTTTTTCTCAGTGTTACAGGGTTGAGTTATTTACTTAATTTAATAATCATTTTAATTTAAAATCATTTACATTTAAAATATAAAATAGCCATGGTTTCAGTAAATGTATATATACTTACCAAAATCATGACAAGTCATATTTTTGTAATTAATAGAATTGATGTAATATGTCCACTTAAACTTTGACAAGCATCATACATCAGAAATTACACTCACATTTGCAGCAGAAAGACAGTTTTGGCTATGACCCAGAAATAGGGGGAAAATATGCGAGAGAAACAAAACCAAAATTAAAAATGTTGATGGCAATGTATCCCTTCAAATGTGTTACAGTCTTCAACCCCATCACATCTTGTCACATTAATATATTTGGAAAAAATAGGGAGACAATTGAGAAAAAGCATTTCTTGCTGATTACCATTTGACATGTTACAGACTAAAACAATAAAATTGTGGTTTTAGTTAAAAACCCCTTCTAAATTACATTTTATTTTTATTTTATATTTTGTACAAAATAATATTTTTTTATTATAAGAAGTTCAAGGCCTAGCGTGTTACCTGGGGTCAGAGATCACTGTTGCATCACTGAATGCAGAGGAAGGATTCTCCTTGGGTTGATCACTGCTTGATCCAGCAGATGGAGAACTCATTTTAGAGTATGTGTCTTCCCACTCTCATTTATCAAAGAGTGCTTAGAGACTGATTTCAGACCTTGTATAGAGATAAAAGAATACAGAACATTTGTATAGTACAATGATCCTGTTGAATGAAAAAACAGGGCCGTGACCACCATAGACATTTAGGGAAACAAGTTCCCCCAATAATTATAAATGGCCAAATTGTTTTACTGTTCACAGAAGCAGAGCACAAATTCCAGTTTGTAGCATCAGTTTTAAAGGGTTAGTTCACCCAAAAATGAAAATTCTGTCATTAATTAGTCACCCTCGTGTCGTTCCAAACCCGTAAGACCTCCGTTCATCTTCGGAACACAAATTAAGATTTTTTTGATGAATTCCGAGAACTCTCTGACCCTCCATAGACAGCAAGGATCCTATCACGATCATCGTTAAAATAATCCAGATACCCGCGATCCTGAAGGGCGATGAGAGCATCGGTTAACGACACCAAGCTGTGGCAGACAGAGACACTGAAGAGGGACTTCAGGAGCCTGATCGAGACGGTGTGCAGCACATCACCCGCGTCGACGATCATCGTGTCAGTACCGCTGCCCACGTATTGACCAGGACACGAAAGGTTCAGTAAACTTTTTGCTTTAAACGAATGGTCATTGTCATGGTGTAAAGACCAGAAACTGCTCTTTGTTAATAATTGTAATCTTTTCTGGGAGCGTCCTAAATGATGTGTTTGCTCGACGTGCGTGTGATATTCATGCGCATGTGCGGTGTGTGTTTGTGTGCGATCAGTCATCGCGGTAAGAGTGAAACATTCAAAAGTGTGGGCTTACGTTACAAAACTAAGCGACATCAGTGTCAGATGCAATATATGCAGTAGTGTAATAGTGAACAAAAGAGGCTACACTAGTAATATAATGAAACATTTACTAACAAAATACAACATCTACCTCAAGCAATGCGCTGTATTAGGCTATATCTCCCAGCTCCAACTGTAACTCGCGAGACACATCACATCATTCACATCAAATGTTGATTCGGTAGAGTTACACTCACGAGACACTACACTTCTTCGCAATCACAAAAGTACATTATTTCCTTGCTGGTTAAACGTTTCATTTGCGTGCTGTTCTAACATGTGCTTATTCAGAGCGCGTACACCCGAAGCGTCCGTTCGAGCCGGTCAAACAGCACCTGATTACTTATGCCGAGTTTACACTGCATGATTTTCAAACTAGTCGGATCGCCGTTGTATCTGGGGTAGCATTCAGTTGTTGCTGTGTTCACACTGCACGATGGATCGGCGACAGGGGGTTTCACACTGCATGACTTCACAATAGGAAGAATCGCCGACAGCTCTGTCTGGTCCGCAAACTACGTTTCACAACAAAACACACGTTGACAAGTGATAAAGAAATAACGCGAGAACCCGCGTGCGTCAGACCGGACTTCTCCAGCGAGACTGTAATTATAAAATATATATATATATATAGCCCGCAAATTGTCTGTGAGCTGATTTGAACTGAAAGGGATCGGCGACAGGGGGTTTCACACTGCATGACTTCACAATAGGAAGAATCGCCGACAGCTCTGTCTGGTCCGCAAACTACGTTTCACAACAAAACACACGTTGACAAGTGATAAAGAAATAACGCGAGAACCCGCGTGCGTCAGACCGGACTTCTCCAGCGAGACTGTAATTATAAAATATATATATATATATAGCCCGCAAATTGTCTGTGAGCTGATTTGAACTGAAAGTAGACAGTTGAGAGAAAAACAGATGCGGGCAGCTCTTAAAGCAGCAATACTAAACATGCTGTCGCTTGTCATTAAAGGGATAGTTCATCCAAAATTTTTTATTCTGTCATTATTTACTCAGTCATGTTGTTCCAAACATGTATTAATTTTTTTTTATTATTTTGCTGAACACAAAAGAAGATATTTTGAAGAATGTGGGTAACCAAACAGTTGCTGGTCCCCACTGACTTTAATAGTAGGAAGAAAAAAAAAGAAAGTCACTGGGAACAAGCAACTGTATAGTTTCCCACATTCTTCAAAATAACTTTTTATGTTCAACAGAAGAAAGAAACTCATTCAGGTTTAAAACAACTTGAGAGTGAGTAAATGATGACGCAATTTTAATTTTTGGGTGAACTATTCCTTTAATGTTAATAAAATAAAACACAAAGAGAAAAATAACTCGCTGCTCTTGACTGAAGAACTTTAATACAGTTGCTAAAGTTCAGCAGTAATAAAATAACTTGACATTTTCAACAACTTTTCACTTTTTTTGCACCAAATAGAATCGATAACAGTATCGATAAGCAGTATCGGTATCAGTATTGATAAAATGTCAAATATACCCATCCGTACAAATGATGCATTGGGACTTGCGTTTACTGACCTAATAAACTCTTTTGGAGTCAAGCAAAATGTCACAATACCCATTCTCTCAAGAAAAAAACTCGTAATCTTGAGCACAAATGGAGAAAAACTAATTAGGACGTTTTTAGAATCGCAAGGAAAAACAGCATGTCCAGCTATAGACAGGCTCTAAAAGCTGCCAGGGCCGAGC